TGGGTTACGTGTGTTTGTGCTCTCTGACTTGCACACTGACTATTCTGAGAACATGGAATGGGTCAAGTGCTTACCAACTGTCAGATACAAGAATGATACTCTTATTGTTGCGGGTGATGTCGCTGAGACATACAACAACTTTATCGTGACAATGTCTGCCTTGAAGGATAGATTTGAACATGTTTTGTATGTGCCTGGAAACCATGACCTTTGGTGCCGTCAGGAGGGAGAAATTCATGTGAGAAAAATTATTTAATTGCCAGGCCTTTTATCTTTTATGCACTGCGTTCTCCAACTGATAGTTTGCAGTATCTAATTTTTTGTAACGTTCTATACATTTGCACACATTCATAATATTTCTCATACTTGCATCTATCAACATGCACTGCAGAACTCATTTGTTTCATCTGCAGCCAGTTACTAGAGAATAAAAATAACCCAACCTTTCAATAATTTTGGTTTTATGATTGAACTTAGCCCAACGTAAACTTGAAATCAGCTCATTGCGATTATGATGATGACTTTGCGAGGATGCCTTTAAGCAAGCGGAAGACATCTTTAACCAGATGTGCCTAGATCTACTTGCAGGCTGGGAGATTCCATTATTGAACTATTAAATAAAGGGACTGTGAAATCACTCTGAGACTGCATTCAGTTTCCTCTCAGACTATACTGAGAGTTAAAACTTTTTTCTCACCCATGAAACCGGAAAAAAAATAAAATAAAATAAAAATCTCTTGACAAGCCAAGCTGGATGTGTAGATAAGCTGGTTGTAAAAGCAAAATGTTTTTAATATTACCTCTTTACGTTCTTTTTCTTTATCTGCCAGCGTTCCTGCTGATTAATATTATAGACATGGATCACCTTGATTGTTATAAATGTGAATATGAATAATATCAGATAGTGATGGCATAGCTGTAGTTGCTTCGGAATGTGATTCTTGCCAATTCTTTTTCAATCAGTTTTCTTCATATGATGCAGCAAGGTTCCCTCATATGTGGAATCATTAGCTGACTGCTATGGTTGTGTTTTTTCAGCTTGATTCTCATCAGAAATTAAAGAAATTGCTTGATGCGTGTAGAGGACTTGGAGTTGAGACCGGTCCGATGGTTTTAGATGGCTTAGGAATCATTCCTTTGTTCTCATGGTACCATGAGGTAATTGGTCTAATATTATAATCTTGTACAATTTTTCAGCTCTCAATCCAGCATTTGCTTTAGAATAGAAATGCTTACTAAGTTAATATCGTATAACAAAAATAAAAAAATAAAAATAAAAATAAAAACTTACCAAAAAAATGAATGGAGTTTCTTCTTTTGCAGAGCTTTGATAGGGAGGAGGAAATAACCAGCACCCACATTCTGTCTTTGGAGATGGTGATTCACTTTCTTTAGCCTAGTAAGATTTTTAAGAAGTTTTATTATAATAACATGATTTTGCAGTTCTTGTTATGATACCCACTTAGTGGGAAAAGGCTTTGTTGTTGTTGTTGTTGTTGTTGTTGTTATGATACTATGTGTTTTGATGTAAACCTGAAAGGATTTCGATGATTGGAGCATAAGTCTACTGTTTATTAAAAAAAAAAGAAAAACTTAGTAATGTCATGAAGTTTAAAAATAGTCATCCGAACAAAGTATCACAGAGCAGAGGCTATTACCATGCTGGAAGCTTAGGATGGTTATTCATTCTTTGGCTGGGCGAAAGATCTTTACAATTTTCATTTCCTAGGCTGTTCAACTTATTCAGGACTCATGACAAGAGTATTCCTAGTGTGGCGAGTTTTGCTGAGCATTCTTTGAATTGGGACTTTGGCTTTCAAAGGAATTTGCGTGATGTGGAATTAGATGAGTTGTCATCTTTCTAGACAAGTTTGGATCTGGCTACCATTCACCCTTCAAGTGTTGATGCAAGACATTGGATACTTGATGCTTCAAGAAGATTCTTTGTTAAATCTTATTGCGATTTCCTTCCCAAAAACTGTGTTGATAGGGTTTCGCAGGCTTATGGCCTGGTTTGGAAATCTAAAGTTCCTAATAAAGTGAAGGTTTTGCTTGGTTAGTGGCTCGTGGGATGTTAACATGTGTTACATGCTCCAAAAACGGAGCCTAGTTCATGTCTACGACCTGATTGGTGCATTTTATGCAAGAAAAGTTCAGAGTCTGTTGATCATTTGTTTCTTCACTGTCCGATGGCTTTAAATCTGCTGAAGTTGTTTAGGGAGTTTGGTATTAGTTGGGTTTTTACCCAGGGATTGTTATTCTTTTATGGTAGAGAAACATAAATTATCAGGAAAAGGGAAGAAAATCAAGATCTTATAGTTTCAGCTATTTTTTGGGTCATTTGGATGGAAAGAAACAAGCTGATTTAGGACTACGAAGTCAGTAGAAGGGAGGATCTTTGGGATAAAGTTCGGTTATGGTCATCTATGTGGGCATTGGTTACTACAGAATTTAGAGATTTGTCTTTTTCAGAAATTATGCGTTACTGGAATGCTGCTATTATTTAGTTTTGTGTTGTTTTCACAGTTTCTAAGGGTTGATGTTGCTATTTATCCTGTTTTGTTTGTGCTTTTGTGGACTTCTTGTCCACTCTTGTATTTTATTGGTTCTTTGCAACAAAAATTTGTTTATCTTAAACAAAATTAAAAATTATTTCTTCTGTGTGTTGTCCTCTCAAATCTAATGTAGGGTTAGCGAAGTACACAAGTGCAATACAGACTTTCTGCTCTTTTCTCATTCTTGTTACTGTTCTCAATGTTATTCAGTTCCTGTGACAGACAAATTCTTAATTAGCGTACCAAGTTGACATCATTGTCATAATGTCATTCACGGAGCACTTTGGATTTTATTTTTATTTTATTTTATTTTTTATCCTTTCCTTTCTTTTCTTGGATTTTTTTGTTTCTCCCTTATTAATTTGTGCTCCTTATATGCGCTTAATTTATCAGTTTACATTGCTGCAGTTATGGCTGTTTTATAATGCAGTTGAGCAGATAAACATTCAGATTTTTTTTACGCACGTATTGTTGTTTCAATTCTTAGGCATGTAAAGACTTCAAAGCATGCAAGTGGTCCAAGGAACTGTCAAATGGAGATATCTCACTTGCCCTCTACTTTGATGCAATGAATGAAAAGAATCAGAGTCTGATCAAGGAGATCCAAAACACATGTAGCCAAATAATTTCATTCTCTCATTTTGTTCCCAGGTCAGGTTAATAGTGATTTATGCTTCCAGAATAATAAGTCTCGCCAGTTCCTTTCTCACTTGAAATATTTTGAAATGCCTATAAGATCATGTATCTTGCTGATTGTATTGAATTTTTTTATTTTTATCAGACTATTGAAATCCAAGTAGTTTTTTTAATCTTACTCGTAGTGCTAGAAACCTAAAATCAATACACAAATTAAAACCCATAATCAACTCAAATACCACATTAAATTGCATTTTGCAGTGATGATGATATGCTGGGGGGGGCACCCAACCTGTCATTGTTTTTCCCGGCCAGTTCCAATTGGAGAGTCAACACATACTTGGGGACTATTAGGGTTGAAGACCCAATGCCCATAGTTATACAAAAAAAAAAAAAGATGAAACTGAAGTGCTAGCAACACCATTAGGGAGGCATATATATGTGTGTGGTTTTCTGGCATTGTAATTACTAAAGCCACATTGGCTCTGAAATAAAATTGGTTACTTTGTTGGAGATTTGAACTTGCTAGATATGGATAGTTTTTGCATAATATCAAACGATTTTCAAATAAACCTTTTGTTACCTTTTTTGGTTGAAATTAATTTTGCATGTTCTTGCGTCCTTCTCTTGAATTTCGTTTGTCAATCAGTTTATGGATTCTGTCTGTAGTCTTCAGTTAGCATGACAATTGCTTGCATATCCTCACCAGGCAAGAGCTATTTCCTGAGAAAAGGATGCTATTCTATCCAAAGCTTCCAAAGATTATTGGTTCTGATTGTCTTGAGGCCCGTATACGGTCAATCCATGGGGTTGAAGGAAGTCCATCTGCATGTCATGTGTTTGGTCATACACATTTCTGTTGGGATTCTGTCATTCATGGTATCAGGTACATTCATAACTCAGTTACCACTGTATAATGATTTCACACATGTAATTTGTTAGGTAACTCAGCTACCAGTAAAGGAAAGAGAGAGAGGCGCGAGAGAAGAGTTCTTAGTTAGTCCCATGTTTTCACAGTGTTATTGTAGAAGGGTAAGGATGTTTTTTTGGTGGGCCCGGGCCACTACCATCCTTCCTAAAATAAGAACTCATGTACCACATAAGGTATATATAGTTGTCCTAGCCTATCCAGTCCCTCTTAGCGAGGCGCACAAAACAACCCCTAAGGTTGTTACTTGCTCTTGAAGGCTTGCTCTTGAAGGCTTTTTGTTTGTTTCTTGCCTTGTAAGATTCCTATTCCTCGTATAATGGGCACATGAGGTTTGTCTTCTTTTGTCAAGGACGAGCTTTTGAGACCAAACCATAAAATCTTGGATATTTTCTTGTATTTTGTTTAGGGTTTGTTCTTTCCAAGGGACTGCTTTGGGTGTATTCTCTTTTGGGTTATTGGTTGAATTTCCTAGCCCTCTTCACCTTCCAAACCGGACCACGTTAATCCTTTGTGTTCTGGTGGGATTGTTGTTTTGTATGTTTTGCCTTCATATGTTATCATAATTTATTATGCTGCTGCAATAATAATTGCATCAAACTACCAAAAAGCAGTATACACTTTACAATTTTTAAAAAACAGGTATCCACACTACATGAAACGAAGGAAATGAGCAACAAGGGCTACACATTTACACCAAAGTAAATGAGCAACATTGGTTTGAGATCTGCTTTAGATGCTATAATGCACATGCTAGCTTCATTTGCATATATGACACCCAGTATGAGATGGTGAGATGATTATTCAACATATTCTATTATGTCTTGCACATTCGCCATATGGTTAATGGATGAGATGAGATGAACCCTAGTCCGTTCTTTATGGCTTAATTGGATCTATGGTCCTTGAGTTTGTCCACAATTTACATTTTGGTCCTCCAACTCGTTTTTTAGTTTCTGTAGTCCTTCAAATCGTCCTCTTATTGGACCATTAGTTCTTCCCTCGCAGTTGTCACATTTTCCCGTCTGTTTTAGGTATAACACGGTTTCCAACACCATTTCACTTTTAGTTATTCATTTGTGTGTAAATCGATGCAATGCAGGTATGTGCAGGCGCCACTGGCTTACCCAAGAGAACGGAAGAGGAGAATGAATGGGGGTGAAAATTGGTTGCCATTTTGTATCTATAGTAACGGAAAGTTTTCAGAGAAGGTTTCACCGTGTTATTGGTCTGATTATTACTCTACCCACCCAAGAACACCTCATAACACTCAACTCGCTCCTTGGGTTGCCACATTTTACAACCAAACATGACCACTTAACATGTGCATATGTAATTAATTAATATACTTTTGTGTCCCTTCTCCTTAATTTGCAATAATAACAGACTACCAACATTTTGTTCATCTCTGAATGTTGTTTCTGCTAACCACACCCCACCCCCTCAAAAAAAGTTTACTTTCGTCAGAAATTTAGTATTCCAATCCTCTAAGATTGAAATAAAAACAAATGCAAGTGTACTCAAACAATTGAAATAAAAACAAATGCCAACAACAGTTGGATGAGTTGGTAAGGAGGAGGATTGTTGCGCAAGACCTAAGTTCGAGTCCTACCCAGTATCATTCACTTTGGTGACGATCATTTTTGGAGGAGGATCTGTAAAAATAAAAATAAAAAAGGACTAATGTTTGTCCTCAAAGAGGACTGACCCTGAGATGGGTTCCCCGAAACTTTTTCTTACCAAAAAAATTTGAAATAAAATTAGCCAAAGAAACTCCACGGCACTTTATTAGCTTTACAATCACATGTCCATGCAATGGAAATGACGTTTTAGACAACGGGAGGACAAACTCCAACACAAAAGTTGCCAAACAAAAAAAAAAAATTACAGAAAATGGAACATAAACACTCGAGGTGTGAATGGCAAAGGGAGCGAGCAGCTGACACATGTTGGTATTAATACAGTGCGTACGGGGGCTAAGCGCCAAACTAACGGACTAGTAATCCTCTGGAGCCAATGGCTGGTGAGCGTGGTGTGGCGTCTCTGTTGGTATGACCATGTACTCGTATATGAGAGCCGCCAACCCACCTCCTAGGAGTGGCCCAACCCAGTAGATCCAGTGGTTCCTCCATCTCCACCCTACCAGTGCAGGTCCAAACGCCCTTGCTGGGTTCATGCATGCCCCATCAAACGGCCCGCCCACCAGGATATTTGCCCCGACAATAAATCCAATGGCCAGTGGTGCGATGGTTCCCAAGCTACCCCTCTTGGGATCAATGGCAGTAGCATATACGGTGTAAACTAACCCAAATGTCAACACAATCTCTAGTATTAGCCCATGCACCTCAGCAACACCAGAGGCCACGTTGAACCCCACCGTCCTCTGAATAGTAATATCAAATAATTGATCAGAGCTAATTGTAATAATTTAGAATGAAAGGGGTTTAGCTTGTAGCAAAGCGAGCTAAGTTTTTAAATACGGAATAATTACCATGCCATTTGTGACAAGCCTTAACAAAAGAGAAGCCACAATAGCCCCAAGAAGCTGTGCAACCCAGTAGCATAGGGCGCGAACAACGGATAGCCTTCCACCAAGAAGAGCACCAAAGGTTACAGCAGGGTTGACATGGCCACCAGATACGTTAATGCTGGCTGAGATGGCCGAAAAGAGAGAGAAGGCGTGTGCAAGAGCTATGGCTATCAGCTCAGATGCTGATGTGCCGCTATCCTTGTAAATCTTCCCTGCCAATTAATTAGTTGCGAAACAGACTATCAAGGTTTAGTAAAGAAAAGATATTGATGATGGCATGTCTCATTTGTCATTTCATGTAGATCTGTGCTAGAATATCAACGAAACATGCATGCATGCATAGATATATTAACATATGTAAAGAGGTAATTAACAGAATGAATGATTTTACTTAATTAGTTTAATGATCATGACGTCGTTATTTGCTAGATTTATTTAGATATCATACCAAGAGCAAGAGCAGAGCCTTCCCCGGCAAAGACAAATATGAAAGTGGCAACCAATTCAGCTAAAGTGGCTCTGATGGAGTCAGGGTGGGTGACCTCGTCGGCCCTCCCAAAGGCATATCTACGAGGTGGCATGCTGGGGACGATGAAAAAACGCAAGCACTTTCTTTCTTAGTTAGAAATTTATGGAGTGGAGAAAGCAAGCTCAACTGCCGGTCGGATTATATGCTCTTTAATTACTTGGCTACACCTGCACTGCACAGCTTCTTTCTTCTTCTTTCACAAATTACTAGATTAACACGAAGGCAGGCAGATCGAGCGAGAGGATATATCCAGATAGATCTCTCTAAAACGAGAGAGAGAGAGAGAGAGAGAGAGAGAGAGCGTGTGCGTGTAGAGGAGAGAGGAGGGTCACCGCATGTTTGAAATGTGGAGGTCTGTAGTCTTAAATTAGCCAAGAGCGGTTGGACTCATTTAGGACACATGGGCAGTCCCATGCAGGAACAGCGACACGTAATGTCTTGGAATATGGAATGGCGTCATCCCGAAACGGTCCCTATCTCTTCCCTGCACTGTTTTGAATTTATCCTTTTGAACCTTAGACAATCTTCAAAAGTAATGAGAATGAAACTAATTTGTGGACTAATATATATAATTGAGAATTTTAGAGATTTTAATAATTTATAAATTCATAAATTTTTAAGAATTTTAATTGTGTGTAGAAATTTCATGTAAAATTTTAATTTAATTTCCTTAAAATCTCATGGGAGATGTGAGATTTGTAAACTTTTAAATTACATTACGAAATCTTTCAAATTCTTTCAAATTCCTTAACTTTTTCAAATTCTTTAAAATCAAATTCTAATTGATTACATTTAGAATGTTATAAAATTCTTTAAAATCAAATTTCTAAGAATTTTAATAAACTATCTTAAAATGTTGATTCAATACACATTGAATTTTAAAGAATCACTTAAAATCCTGATTGAACCCTAGATTCATTAAAAGAATTAAAATTCCTCAAAATCCCTATTGAATACACCCTCCTAAATTTTGTAAATTAAATTACAAGAAAATTGATTGATAGATTACTACTTAAGCGCTGATAAACGTACTTATTTCTTATTAGTGAAAATAATTTAGTTTCCAAATTTAGTTTACACATTCAGTCTCTCTAACATAACCCATTTCCACATGCACATCAAATACGCCAAATAAAACTAAAAGACATTAAAGTATTTTCTAAGGAAAATGTAATATGCAGCGGCAGCTAGTCATTTGACTCATTAATTTTTTTTTTACAGCAAACAAAGATAAAGTCACATGCCTTTAATTCAATTTTTTAATATACGAGTTCCATTGGACAAATAAGATGAAAATTAGAGTCAATTTTAATTACAAACTCAATATTTTAATATATTATTTGACACATTGAATTGGCGACGCAGCAATCAAATAAAATTTTGATATATTATACGAGTTAATTCCTATTATTTTTATTAGTAATTAACTAATTACATCATTAGGATTCATACTTTCATAAGTATACAATCCATATTTTAAATAAAAAGAATAAATAAAGCATAATGTGAGTTACGGGTGGTTTGGGAGTGAGATGCTTAAAAAAAAAGCACCCACGAAAAAAAGCTATGAGGGTTTTAGGTGTTTGGTAAACTGAAGAAAAAAAAAATGGCTTATTTTGGAAGTTGTTGTGAGAATAAGTTGAAATCAAATGAAAAGGCTGAAGCTACTATTTGCAGCTTTGGAAAACTGGCTTTTTTTCAAAGCACACAGAGCTACAGTGCTCCTTTAATGAAAAGACCCACTATCAGACTGCTTTTTTTTTCAAAAGCACTTTTACAAAAACATTACTAAACACTGCTGATTTATTTCACAGCCGCTTATTCTCACAGTACAGCCGCTTATTCTCACAACAGCTTCTTTTCAAAGCACAGCAATACCAAACCAGCCCTTAGGCTTTGCCAATTACTGTCAGCTAGCTAGTTGCATTAGACTAGTATAGTTATGCTCATTTATTTATGGGTAAATTACGTTCTACCCTTTTAAGTTTGGGGTCAATTACACTTTCTTACAGCATCTTTAAAACATTTCAATCTCATACATTTACTTATTATTTTCAAGGTTCTAAAAAATACTAGGCGCTAGTCGGGCGACGGGCTAGCGCCTAGGCGCCTAGGCGGCCTAAGCGGATTTGGGTAAATTTCTTGTATATCTTGTAAATAAGTGCATATTGACACTTACAAAAAATTATACTAGTATGAAATCCATAGATAAATAATAAAAGAATGATAAAATGTAAAAAGAGTATCCAAGTTCAAATATAATAATACCTAAACATTTCATATAAAGTTATAATATTTCATATAAATTTACTATGTAATATATACATAAACATTAAATAATACATTATTTTTAAAAGTATATATGCAATGTAGGAGTTTTAAGTATAATAATATGATGGTCTTAGAAATACCAAATATAATAAAATACTATTCCTAATATATTATACAACATATTTATTTAATAGTGAAGAATGAGTAATTATTTTTTATTTTCTTTTATTATAAATTATAAGTAGTGGGTGATTATAATTTATAACAGTGGAGGGTGGATAATTAATAGGGGCAAGTGGTGGAAACCGGTCAAATAGAGAGGATGGTCATTGACGCCTTGGAAACCGTGAAGACCTTTATTTTGAATTCTCTCTATTTATTTTCCTCCCTTTCTTCGATTGCTTTGCCTAGTTCCTTATCTTCTTCTTCCTCTATATAATTTCTCAAAATCTGGTTATGGCAGGTCGAATTCCTCAGGCGCATAGAAGAAATCCCAACTTCCCAAGTATCCAATCCATGTCAATTTCTCATTCGTTTCTTGCAATTGCATATCTGTTTTTCTAATTGCTTCTAAACGTCTCTCTCGCTCCTTTTTCCCTCACACTCTCTCGCTCCATCGCTCTATCTTTCTCCAAATTTTATGTCGTCGCATTCTCTTTTACGCGATGAGTGAAGCCGCGAGACGTATATAGTTTTTTTTTTACAGACCTGCCTAGTCTGTCGTCGAGGCTGCCTAGCCCACTAGTCGGCCACCTAGACACTACCTAATTCCCTTGCCAATTTAGTGAACGTTTCTAGTATAATCGCAGCGGCAGCCTGACGCCCAGCTCCTAGGCAATTGCCTAGACCGTTTTTTAAAACACTGATTATTTTATTTCAATTTCATACAACCGTTAAAAAATCAGTTAAGTTAACCGTTAAATGATGACGTGGTAAATGTAGGCCCATATTTTTGCTTATGTAGCAGTCAATAAATAAAAAAATTGCGCCCATCACTTCATATTCTTCGTTCTCCCATCGCTCTCATCTTTTTACCGTGTCTCACTCCGTTCTCTAGTTACTGGTTTCCTGGCATCACCAGAAGACCATCTTCGTCTTCTTCTCTATTGGACTCCGCAACCACAATCCCAACATCAATCACCCCTATAATCATGGCTCATTGAGCTCTCGATGTACACTGACACGCCGTGAAAAATGGTGTTTCCTTCTTCGTCTTCATCACCACGCTAGATCCGAGCCATACAACCTTAAAGTGTGTTTGTACCATATTTAGGGCCTCTGTATTTAGACCTCGTATAAATACTCGAGGGACTCAAATGTAATTATGTAATAAATGAAGGAGCAAATATGTAATAAATGATGAGCCCTTATTCTATAAAATGACTCATCACTCTCCTCAATAAAGGAGGTCAAGGTTAAGGCCATGGGAAGAGAGAAAACATCTCAGAAAGGGCAAACACAGAGAATAGGCTAGAAAGCACACTGCCTCTAGCCTTCTTGTATATTCACCATTCATAGTGAAACAATATCAACATCAGTGTGGACGTAACCCAAACATTGGGGTGAACCACGATACATCTTGTGTTCTTTACTTTCTTACAGATTCACGGTCGGTTTTACGTTGTTCCAAGACCTTCCAGTTTTGTGCATCAACAAAGTGCACAACCAAATTTGAATTGGAAGTAGGATGATCTTAGTTGGGTTTAGGTGGCATTAGGTGAGGAGGGGGTTTATGGGTTGAGAGAGATCCTTGGGGTCTGTTTGTCTAAGGTGGTAGGTTTGGAAAATTGAAAAGGGGCTAGGATTTAGGTGGGGTGGGATTGTGCTGACTCTCGAATATGAATCATAGTGGCAATCTAATGAAAATGGATCTGGTCCGGATCGTGAACTGGATCTGAAGAGAAAAAAAATCCAAAATCCCTTTGATTTATGGATGGATGAGTAGCTTGAGTTCTGAAGAAAAAAAAAACAAAAAACAAAAAAAGCAAAAAAAAAAAAAAAAAGCCTAACAGTAACTCCAACTCACTATTGAAGAACTTGATGGTGTCAGTTTTTTTTTCTTTAAAACCCCACTTGTACACATCCCACTCCAGATTTGTCGATCTTTCCATCCCAGAAGCCACAAAATGAAAATTTATAGGGTGAAGCACAGAGTGATGGGTTTTGGGTTAGTTTAGGAAGATGTTACAGCGAAGGATTTCGATTTAGATTTGATGGGTTTTATTTAATTGCAGGGATTTGCAGTGGGAGAGAGGAAGTTTAGAGAGTCTCGTGCAATGTGTGATATTTGCAAGGAGGAAGAAGGTTACACAAGGAAGAAAACGTTGAACTTCTATAGGGTGGCGAAAGAAGCTTCCCAAACCCATATGGGATTATTGGTTGCAAACAAGCACAGAGGATATGAGATGTAATCGAGGAAGAGATGGGGTTATTGGGCTAAGTTTTGCCCAAATCCCTTTTCAATTTTTTTTTTAGTTTTTAATTATAATATAAATTGATTTTTTATTAAATAATCCTTTTTTATTATTTTTTATTCACCTGGTACAAAGTTGACAGCCGTGTCAACACAAATGTGGACCCTACATTTGACACGCCATCACTTAACAGTTAACAGATTTTTTAACGGATATATGAAATTGAAAAGAAAATATAACTAAATGTATGAAATTGAAATTTTTTAAAGATGTTGTATAAGATTGTAATTGACCTCATACTTGAGAGGTAAAATGTAATTTACCCCTTATTTATAGATTTCTATTGTTAAGTTTTGCCTAAAACGACTTACTACTAATCACATTGATATTATTTAAAATATTATTACTTGTATAATTTGAATGGCATGACATTTAAAATAAAATTCGGGATCTGTTCAGGATCAAAATGAACACAACCATATGAATTGACGTGTGGTACACATGATATGTGTGTAGCATGTTATCTCGGTTTACTATTATAGTGAACAATTCAAGATTTTTCACATCCACTGCGTCACCAAGTAAACCCGATATGTTTTCACTAGAGTAAGTTCAAGTCCAAAAGACATTTCACCCG